GGGCGGAGGCATGACCCCGTGACCCCGTCCCCCAGTGTCCCCAGGATATCCCCCAGGACCACCCCAGGGTCCCCCAGTATCCCCATCCCAGGTCCCCCAGTGTCCCCAATGTCCCCCAGTGTGTCTCCAGTGTCCCCAGTGTCTCCCAGTATCCCCATCCCAGGCCCCCCACTGTTCCCCAGTGTCCCCAGTGTCCCCCAGTGTCCCCAGTGTGTCCCCCAGGCCCCCCCAGCCTTCCAAGTGTCTCCCAGTGTCCTCCCAGTGTTCCCAGTATCCCCAGTGCCCCGCCTCCTCCAGTGTCATCTCCCCCCCCCGTGGTGTCCCCAGCAGGAGGGGGGGGCTGTAGGACCGGGAGAGAGGGACGGAGGGACAGACAGACAGAGGGAGGGCAGGACAGATGGACAGACGGACAGAGGGACAGGGGATGGGGGATTGAGGGCTGGGGGAGGACAGACGGACGGACAGAAGGGTGGGTGGAGGGAGGGCAGGACAGACAGACGGACGGATGGACAGAGGGAGGGACAGACGGACAGACGGACAGAAAGGGGGGGGTGAAGGAATGAGGGCCTGGGGGAGGACAGACGGACGGAAGAATGGATGGACAGAGGGCAGGACAGACAGAGGGATAGAGGGAGGGAGGGACAGACGGACAGACGGGACGGTAGAGGGCCGAGGTCTGGGAGAGGACAGACGGACGGAGGGATGGATGGATGGGGGGCAGGACAGACGGATGGACAGATGGACAGATGGATGGAGGGGTGGATGGATGGGGGGCAGGACAGACGGACGGACAGACAGAGGGACAGACAGACGGAAGGAGGGGTGGATGGATGGGGGCAGGACAGACAGACGGACAGAGGGAGGCACAAGTGGACAGACGGACAGACAGACAGACGGGGGGGGGGGGAGGGGTGAGGTCTGGGGGAGGGCAGACAGACGGAGGGGTGGATGGATGGGGGGCAGGACAGACAGATGGACAGACAGACAGATGGACGGAGGGATGGATGGATGGGGGGCAGGACAGATGGACGGACAGACGGATGGAGGGACAGACGGACGGATGGAGGGATGGATGGAGAGCAGGACAGACAGACAGACAGACAGAAAGAGGGAGGGACAGACGGACAGAGGGGTGGATGGATGGGGGGCAGGACAGACAGACGGACAGACGGAGGGACAGACAGATGGAAGGAGGGGTGGATGGAGAGCAGGACAGACAGACGGACAGAGGGAGGCACAAGTGGACGGATGGACAGACAGACAGACACACAGACAGACAGGGGGGTGGATGGATGGATGGAGGGCAGGACAGACAGACGGACAGATCGATGGAGGGAGGGACAGACGGACGGGGG